GAAAATGGTAATCATTGATGAAGTGTCCATGGTTTCTAGCCTCAATCTCACTTACATACACATGAGAATGAATGACTTATTCGAATCAGACGAATGGTTTGGTGGCAAGAATGTCCTCTTTGTTGGTGACATCCTTCAATTGCCACCAGTTCGTGGACAACCAGTGTTTGACAAAGTAACAGCATCAACACTGAAATACAGACTTGGTAGTATGGGTGCAGTGAACATATGGCGTGATACTGTCACCTATGACGAATTGACAATAAATGAAAGACAAAAAACAGACCAGAAATTTTCGGAAATGTTGGACAAAGTGAGACGTGGCTTTCCAGACGATGAGACTCTCGCTACACTTTCCGAAAGGGTATTTTCGATGCCCATTGAGAAAAAATTTAAAATATTACAACAGGGTGGTAACGCCCCAGTTTGCCTGTTTCCAAAAGTAGACATGTGCAAAGAATTTAATGAAACAATGCTGGCTAATCTACCAAGTCCTACCATAAAAATAAGAGCCACAAATTTAATTGATGGTACTGGCAACATACATGTACGTAGAAAGAAAGATGATGATGATTTAGAAAAAAAGGTTGAGAAAAAGTTAAAAGAATTAAATAAAGATATTAACAATACTGGTGGTTTAGAAGCCAAATTAAAATTGGCTGTGGGGGCTAGAGTAATGTTGCGGTGCAATGTAAATGTTGAAAAGGGATTAGTGAATGGAGCACTTGGTACAGTGCAGGCCATTTCAGAAACACGCATAACAGTTAATTTTGATAGAATAACTGATCCTTGTGAGATTGAAAAAGTGAAGAGAAAGTTTATGGTAATGAAAAATGTCTTTGTGTATAGAAGCCAGTTTCCTTTGATATTAGCTTTTGCTGTTACCATACACAAATGCCAGGGACTGTCACTAGATAATGCAATCATTGATCTGTCTGAAAACGTATTTAGTGCAGGAATGGCTTACGTTGCTCTATCACGAGTACGAACACTGTCTGGTGTCCATTTGACATGTTTCAACCCCAAATCATTGATGGTTTCCTCTTGTAGCATAAAAGAAATAAACAGGTTGAGACAATTGTACAGGCCAGACCTCCCACAATATGCCATTCCTACAGATTGTGGCAGTAGAAAGCGTACACTTACTGGAACTATCGATGAGCCACAAGCAAAAAATCAAAAAAATATGCCACCACCAAAGGTAGCTCGTGATAAGAGAAGTAGGCCATCAGACAGTAAGAACAACGATAAAGCTAATTGCCCCAAAAAACCACCTACTGTTATCACTAATAATAATAATAATGATGATAGTGATGATTGTGTGATGA